GGAAGCTGAAGTCTAGGATTAACTGGCTCAATGAGGGAGATGCCAACACTAGGTTCTTCCACACCTCCACCCTGAATAGAAGGAGGAGAAACAGAATTCTTTCCTTAAAAGATGATTATGGCAACTGGACTCACGACCATTCTGAAATCCAGCAGGCCATTGTCACCTTCTTCAAGGACCTGTACACAACCTCACAAGTTGAAAACACATGGGAGCCTACCCCTCAATCCACAATGGAACCAATTCTCCAACAGAGCCACAAGGACTTCATGGATAGACAGCTGCATATGAGTGAAACCAAATCAGCTGTGTTCTCCCACAAGCCCTTCAAAGCCCCTGGGCCAGATGGGCTCTACTCCTTCTTCTACCAAAAGTACTGGGATATTGTAGGGGACTCTGTCATAGAATTCTGCAAAAAGTGCTTCAGCACTTGCACAATGGCTGAAGAAATGAACAAAACCCTTCTGTGTCTTATTCCAAAATGCCCCCAGGCAACCATGCTAAGAAACTTCAGACCTATTGGCCTTTGCAACACAATCTACAAAACTGTGACAAAGATTATTGTTAATAGGATCAAACCAATTCTGAACCTCATCATAGGACCAAGTCAGGCCAGCTTTCTAAGTAACAGAAGAGCTTGTGATAATGCCATCATAGTTCAGGAATACATGAACCACTTTAGGAAAATGAAAGGTCAAAGTGCCAACATGATTTTAAAAATTGACCTTGAAAAAGCTTTTGATAGACTAGAGTGGTCCTTCATTAGAGATACCCTACATGCTTTCAATTTCCCTGTAGGGCTGTCCAAGCTAATAATGTCCTGCATCAGTACTTCCTCTATCCAAATCCTGGTCAATGGAGGAAAAACTGAAGAATTCACCCCTTCAAGAGGCATCAGGCAAGGTGACCCTATGTCCCCATACCTGTTCATCCTTTGTATGGAAAGGCTATCTAGAGCCATTGACAAGGCAGTCAGCCAAAACTTGTGGCACCCCATCAGCATAAGCAGAGCTGGCCCTAAGATCTCTCACCTTTTCTTTGCAGATGATCTCACTCTCTTTGCTAGAGGGAACATCAGGAACTGCAACACAATCCTAACCATTTTACAGGATTTCAATAGCAAGTCAGGCCAAAAAATCAATCTGGCTAAGTCTAAGGTCATATTTTCCTCAAACACCCCACAAGACATTGCCCAGCAACTGTCTAATACACTGTCTATCAACCACTCCTCATCCTTTGGAAAATACCTAGGCTTCCCAATCCTAAATAAAAGGAAAACTGCCTCTGATTTCCAGTTCATCATTGATAACATGCATAACAAGTTAGCAGGCTGGAAAACCAAACTACTCAACATGGCCAGTAGAACTGTTCTGATAAAAGCCACTCTAAGCAGCATCCCAAGTCATGTCATGCAGTTTATAGCTATCCCCACTAAGATAACCAACCAGATTGATAGGATTCAGAGGAACTTCCTCTGGGGAACCACTCAAGAAAAAAAGAAAATGCACATGATTAAGTGGGAGGTAGTGACTAAAACCAAGGCTCAGGGGGGGCTAGGGATCCAAAAAGCTAGTTTCAAAAACAAAGCTGCATTAGCTAGTCTGGCATGGAGAGCCTACACTAATACAAACAGCCTCTGGGCTAGAGTCCTTATCCACAAGAACTGTAACTTGCATAGGCCTGCCAATGCTGGGAGGCACCATGTCAGTAACAAGTCACCCACTTGGAGGGCCATGCTAAGTGGTTGGGAAACTTGCAGCAAGGCCAGTAGATGGATTGTGAATAAGGGCAATAGGGTGAGCTTCTTCAATGATCCATGGATCCCCAACCAACCTGCTATTAGACATCTAATTGAGGGACCCCTCACAAATAGGGACCTTCTGGCCAAGGTGAACTCAATCCATAATGGAGGAGCTTGGGACACAAGCTCCCTCTCCTTTGATCTCCCACCCCACATCCTTAACATCATCACTTCAGTGTTTATCCCTAGTGTTACAACTAAGGAAGATATACTAATCTGGGCTCTCACTCCAAATGGGAAGTTCTCTCAGAACTCAGCCTACTCATTCATTCACAACAGTGCTCAACTGAGCCCTCCAGGGGATTTGGGAAACTTCAAGTGGCTGTGGAAGCTACAAGTCCCTAACAAGATAAAGTTCTTCATCTGGTCCCTAACCCACAGGAGACTCCCTACCAGAACTATGCTCAGCTCTATGGGAATCAATTGTCCAACTCTATGCCAGTACTGTAATGCTGGGCAAGAGGATATTGATCACATTTTCTTCGTCTGCCCAAATGCTGCCCAATTTTGGAATGCCATCAGGTCCAAATCTACATCCCCTCCTCCTACAAACCCACTAAACAGCACCCACCTCTGGCAGACAGTATGGCCAGACACCAAAGGAGGTAATTTTAATGAACACCTGCACTGGGCAGTTCTCGTTCCCTTCTGCCTCTGGCACATTTGGCTAACAAGGAACAACAATGTGTTCAACAATAAAAGAGAGCTTATCTATGCTAAGAACACTATTGCCAAAGCCACTGAATTCCAACTGCTTAAAGGGAGCAGCAACAACACATGTACACACCAAATGATGCTCAAATGGGAACCCCCACCCAGGAGTTGCTTCAAACTAAATACAGATGGTGCAGTCAAAGGCAAAGTTGGAATAGGTGGAATAGGGGGGATCTTCAGAAACCACAATGGTGACTGGATACTGGGTTACATGGAAAACATCCCTCATACATCCATTCTAGAAGCTGAATTTCGAGCACTCATAAAAGGACTCCAGCTCGCAAAGCAAAACAACCTTCTACCACTACACATAGACACATATTCTGCAGAAATAATTGGCATGTTAACAGAAGGTAATTTGATATTTGACCCTCTAATTTGTGAATGCAGGTTGTTGATTCAAAGGATGGGCAGGGTGGTGGTAAGGCACGCGTTCAGGGAGCAAAATAGAGTTGCTGATGCACTGGCAAAGGAAGCAGTAAAAAAACATTTTGGAACAGATCTGTAGTTTTGGCAGTTCCTCCGGTGTTTGTCAATGATATAG